TTTTCTTCATGGTGATTTAGCTGAGGAGGTTTACATGAAATTTCCCCCTGGTTTTCGCTCTGGTGTTAATGGGAAAGTTTGTCGTCTTCGTCGTTCCGTCTATGGCTTGAAACAGGCTCCCCGTTGCTGGTTTGCCAAGTTGTCTACGGCTTTGAAGCAGTATGGTTTTTGTGAGTCCTATCATGACTACTCTCTTTTTACACTGCATCGTGGTTCTGTTTATCTGCAGGTCCTGGTATATGTTGATGATCTGATTGTTTCCGGGAATGATACCACATCCATTGTGACATTTAAGAGTTATTTGAGTCGTTGTTTTCACGTGAAGGATCTTGGGTTGCTTAAGTACTTTCTGGGTATCGAGGTTGCCCGGAATTCTTCTGGCTTCTTTCTCTGTCAGCGGAAGTATGCTCTTGACATCATAGCTGAGGTCGGACTACTAGGAAGCAAGCCAGCTGATTTTCTATTAGAGCAGAATCATCAACTCCCTCTTGTTGAGGGTGATCTATTGTCTGATCCCGAGCGATATCGTTGTTTAGTCGGACGTCTTATCTATCTAGCCGTGACTCGACCTGAGTTATCTTACTCGGTGCATATGCTCTCTCAATTTATGCATCAACCACGTCAGGCTCACTGGGACTCTGCTCTGCGTGTGGTTCGATATTTGAAAGGCTCTCCTGGTCAGGGGATTCATCTTCGTGTTGATTGTGATCTTCAACTCTATGCATGGTGTGATTCGGATTGGGCGTCTTGCCCTCTCACTCGGCGTTCTCTTTCTTGTTGGTTTATTCAGCTGGGTCAGTCTCCTGTTTCTTGGCGAACCAAGAAACAGCCTACGGTGGCACGCTCTTCTGCTGAGGCTGAATATCGGGCGATGGCTACTACATTATGCGAGTTGAAGTGGTTACGGGGACTGTTATCTACTCTTGGTGTCGCTCACTCTCAGCCTATGCGGTTACACTGTGACAGTCAATCTGCACTGCATATTGCAGCGAATCCAGTTTTTCACGAGCGCACTAAGCACATTGAGGTGGACTGCCACTTTGTTCGAGATGTTGTTCTTCAGGGTCTCCTTTCTACTACTCATGTTCCTTCTGAGGCACAGCTCGCTGACATCTACACCAAGGCGCTTGGGAAACGTGAATTTGATTTTTTTCTTGGCAAGTTGGGCATTCGGAATCCGCATGCTCCAACTTNGGGGGGGGGGGGGTGTTATTGGGTATATTTGTGTATTTACCGTATTAGCCTTAGGTTATATGTAGCCCTAATTTTGTGTATATATTCTTGGTTTAGTGAGAGTTGTATCATCCGATTGTGATGATCATTTATCCAAATTCTTTTTGTCTCCTTCGTATCAATATATATATATTAATTATGTATATGTATATATATTAATTATGTTATTTTTTTACCAATTCATTCTAAATTAAATTAACTATTTCAACATACATAAAAATTTGTACATTAGTCTATTTTTTTTTGGTACAGGGACCTTCCGGTTTTCGGATTCACATGAGAATCGACTAATCCGGAATCGAGCCGGGTAGGTGTACATTAGTCTATTGAATGATATGCAATGGTTCTTTATTTGACAGCATATTTTGCAAACAAATACATTCTTATTAATGTGTAACAAGTGATTGTAATATTTAATTTGATCAAATATTTATATAAAAAAATAATAATCATATAATTATTTGACTATAATTGGATAATTATTACATGATATAGTCTAAATACACATGTAGTTTATTATATAAATACATTATGTATATAATTTGTACGACAATTCTTTGGGAAAAATTAATTGACATGGTATATAAGATTTATGTTGTCTATTTTATATTACATTTTTTTAATTTTGGTAATACTTTAATGTTTATTATTAGCATAATATCTAAAGTGTATAAAAATTAAACCATACATCATATTCATATGATAATAATATATGGTAAATTTCACATTTATATTCTCCTTTTCTTTTATCAAAGTATAAAAGTTCAACTAGTCTTTAATGTAATAATTCAATTACAAATGTGATACATACTATTAAATAAAATTTGTCTTTTATTAAGATGTTTATATATAATATTATTTATTTTTATTATCATGTTAATGTGCACGAGATTAATACTAATTTTATTTTAACATCATAATTTCCAAAATTTCACTAATTACAAAAACAAACAAAATGAGGAAATGCTACGGTTCCGTTACGGAATCATTCCATCGGGGTTCGTAACTGTTAGATCAACTATCCTCGACGGTTACATGATGATCTAACAATTACAAATCCCGACGGAATGGTTCAATAACGAGAGCCTACTATTTTCCAAAACAAATGTTCAAAATATTAAAAGCCATAGTTTTATTATCAATACATGCCTTGCGTGAGTGCGAGTATATGTGTAGTGCGTGTGCGCCCATGGGTGTGTGTGTAGTGTAGGACAAGTCTGAAGAAAACTAGAGAATACTTTTTTGTCTATATTTTCTCCTCCCTAATTTGCAGATCGAAAATCCAGAGCTTCTCATTACTACTGTAAGGCCCAATTCTTCTTGACTTGTGATCTTGTGCACCGCATTTCACACACCAATTTGAATCTGAAAAATTTCAAATCTTCGCCGGAAATTCTCCAATTAGCTGTGTTGTTATCCGATCTGCTGTGAGTTTGCCTTTCGTCGTTCTTACAAATCTTGCCCTTCTGAGCATCTTTGATGAAATTGGTCTGATTTGACGCTTGGGGGTTTGCTTGGTGTTTGGATTTTGCCGTGGTGCAGATCATGACGATTCCAGATTCATCGGGGTATGACTACATGATGGAAAATGGGTCGATAGAATTGCCGTGCAAGCCGGAAGAGGAGAGGAGGATCGTTCAAGAACTGACCGCCAAAGCGGAGTCTAATTTGCGTGAGGGGAACTTGTACTTCGTCGTTTCTAGCAGGTACCTTCACTTCTCTGTTTGATTTGTTGCTGGTGGTTGATTCCGATTGCTGCTAACTCCATATCCCCTCCATTGTCAATGCTGTTATCGTTGTTCTAATTTGTTGCAATAGATGTAATGTAAATGGGTATTATAATTTCTGTTGCTGATAGATCTCTATGTTTTGAAATTTTAGATCATGATTCTATCATGAGGGAGATTCTAATCTAATGCATTGCATATTTTCTGCTCAAACCTAGATGTATGAATTGTAAAGATGCGCTATCGGCATTTTTTCCGATGATGGATGCTGTCTCTCGAGTATAATGGGCTCCGTCCTTTATTTGATTGAATAAAATCCATTGGTGGCAGATACAAAATTTGGTAGTGTGAGCCTTGAGAATGGCTGATCGACTGAATTTAGACCATTCTTCCTTTGCAATATAGCAAACTACAAAACATATTCACAATTACTCTTTATCGAAGTAGTGTCATTCTTTGATTGTGTTAAAAAATCAAGTCTTTATCTGTTTATTGAAGGAGAAGAACCTTTGCGCTTCCCTTAACTCAGCTATAATTGCTGGTTATATGTACTAGTGGAAAGTTAAAAGAATGGAGTAATCAATTAAGCATATGTGAGCCAATATCACTTGTCGGTCTATCACTCGTACATAATTGTGTTGGTGTAATTTAGTGGGTATAGTTTAGTGGAATTCTTCCTTCTCTGATTTATGGGTTGATGCCAAATCAGTTATGGAGGGATATGATTCTAGTAACAATTTCTGTTCAAATAAGTAATATTCTTTTAATTGGTTTCTTTGTTCTATTTAAATACTTGGCAGCTAGGACAGATTAATGAAGAACTTAGACTGAATCTAACATCTTCATCAGCAATAGTGGCAGTTAAGAAAAAAATGGAAAGGTGTAGTAAGAGGAGCTTGTGTGAAACTTGAAACTGAAGTGTAGGGTTTACTAAGAATCTTATGAATGCTAGTTTCTATTCTGAACATGAAGCTTGAAGATCTTTTCGTAAATTGATTTGGGCATCTTTGAAAAAGCATAAGATGCCCAGATATTTCAGGGGAAATTTTAGAAACTCAACCTTTTAGTGGATATTTTTTTTGCTGTTGATCAATTCATGGTATTGCATGTAGGCAATTCAACCATGTAGATGTATGATAGAAAGTTTCAACTTAGGCATTAAAAGTCCACTGAAAATTTTATTTTCCAATCTCCAAACATCAAGTGATTATGTTGCTTTGTTACCCTTTTAGGTGGTTCAGAAGATGGCAGAGGTACACTGGGCAAACGGAAGGTGCTTATCCATTTGAGGATCATTCTATCATATCTCAACCTCTAACATTGGAAGATAGACCTGGAGTTATTGACAACAGTGATATAATTGCAAGTGGACGGGAAAATGAAGATGATGACCCACAGCTTCTCAGAACTGTGGAGGAAGGGCGTGATTATGTTTTAGTTCCACAAGAAGTTTGGGAGAAGCTTTTGAAATGGTAATATTCTGTTTGGTATAAAAACTATTTTGTTTCATTTCTTTTATTTTAAAAATTATATTATAACAATTAAACACCGATACGAACCGAATAATGTAATGGTTAACAGAACTGTGCATTTGTCTGTTCTCCAGACAAAAGCCAAATATTTCCATGGGGTTATTTGCAGAGGTGATTTTCTACATGTGTTTGTAGGGGCCATAAACAAGTTTATGTTGACTTTCTTATCATTCTTTCTGCTGATGCCACTTTTGCATGCCTCTGCAACATAAAAGTTGGATCGCTGATCCTTTTGAAGACTGGGTTGTCGGGTGGTTACATATAGCCCTCCACTTATTATGTTCATGAACATCGTATTACCTGGTCCTCAGGTATAAAGGAGGTCCAGCATTGCCACGAAAGATGATTTCTGTCGGGGATCAACCAAAACAATTTGTTGTGGAGGTCTTCCCCCTTTCTCTCAGGCTAATTGACTCTAGAGACCAGGGTGAAGTAATTATAAGACTTAGTAAAAAGGTATAATCACTTAACTTGTTTGTTATTCGTTCCTTTTATCTGAATGATTATGATTAAATAATGATGTTTTTTTTTTTTTTTTTTTTTTTTTTTTTTTTTTTTTTTTTTTTTTTTTTTTTTTTTTTTTTTTTTTTTCTGACATCTCTATCCTAAGTTAGCTGTATTGAGTGTTTTTCCTTTCTATATGTTACTGATAAGTTTTCGTAGTTGTGCACTTGCCTTTTTTAAATCTACATTATAACTATGCATGCTTCGTGATATTTGTCACTGTTGTTAGCTGTATACTTGCCTTCTTAACTCTACATATGAA